GGCTGATGTCTGGTGGTGCTGGCAAGACTGTCAGGAAAGATAAAGTATACCTAGATAAGAAGGTAAGGATATGTTCTGGTTTATTTTTTCTGCCTCCAAATCTATAGTCAGTTTTGTTTGTGTTATTTTTTTTATCATATGTAATAAACCTTTTCGTTGACTGCCTTCAGAAAGGGTGATTTCAAGCCTAGTGATATTCCAGGCTGGAGAAAGGGACATAACAAATTTGTCCATAATTCAATGGGATGGCTCTCTGGGACTGGCAGAAATTTCTTCTCAGCAGCTGCAGAGTCTGATATAAGAGAGTGGAGCTGAGGCTTGCTGGTGTATGGAGCAATCCCAATGCGATCTTAGTCTGTTCCTTGGGGCAAGTAGCAGCACAGTGGGAAGAAATCTGGGGCTCTAGGGGCCCCTGTGGTTGGGTTTGTGACAGAGGTTTTCCTTTATTTGGTGGCTATGAACAATAGCAACAATTTACTTTCTGTTGTTTTCCTTCCCTTGCTCCCCCTCCTTCTTTTCCTAATCATCTTCTGTGCAGTTCTTTGCTATAATCCATTTCCTTCTGTTTCACTTTCTGATCTCTTCCTCTGAATTTTTACTTCTCTCCTTTTTCACTTGACATCTGTCTCTTTCTGAGATTCCTTCCGCCATTGTGGCTTCCTTCCTTTATTTTCCCTTTTACATTCCTCTCCTCCTTTTTATTATTGTTATTCTTTTATCTTACCTGTTTTGTTCCAGTCTCCGCTTCTTCTCTTGCTGTTACTATTCTCAGCTGCTTACTGTCATGTGGTATGAGAGCATGACTCCCTAAGGCCCTGCAGTTTCTCAGTAACACATCCCCATTGTATTTATAGTACATGTACAAAGTAGGGAATGGAAGCCTGTCAATGATGGGTTGTCCACTATCAAAATGATCAGGAGCAGTACTCCCTAGCACACACAAAGCTGCCTTGTTAAGAGGCTGTTCTTCATAATAAATATTGCATATGACGTGTCTGTTTAGTGGTTTCTCCCATCTGATTAAAAGGACACTGTCGGGGTAGATCCAGAGAGGGTGCAGTGGCACAGACTCACCCCTGCCTTTGGTCAAAGCTGCTGCAGGAACAGCAGCCTGGCACTTTCTTTAAGTCCCTAAACTGGGTAAAAATTTACCCTTGGCCTTCCCTCTCCTTGCTCAGCAGAACCTCCCCTATCTCTCCTGCCCAATGCTGATGTTGTCCAGAGCCACTTCTACCCCTCCAGTCAGGCTCCATGGGGAGCCGGGCTCAGGTAGGGACAGCAACACTGCAGACAGTTTCTTCCTCCCTGCCAGGTCCCCACCCCTCCACCCCCCACTATGCTACTTGCGAACATGCCTGCTGCTGTCCCTGGCTAAGCCTACCTTCATGTGCAGCCCATCTGGAGTGGGGCAGGAGTATCTCTGGAACCTCCCCCCCCACCATCATCTAGGGATACTAAAGACAACAACAGTGCCAGGTGGGGACGACGAGTAATTGGGAGGTAGGCAAAGGACATGCTGCTGAGAATGGAGGGGAATGGAGTGGGGAAGAAAAATTCTTAACTGATTTGAAGGACTTAAAAAAGACCCCAGCAGCTGCTACCATGGTATGGTCTGCCCACTTCAGCGGGAGTGGGTATGGGTGCACTCACCCCTGTAAAAAACTAGTTGCTGCCCACAGGCACTGTCAACACCCCAGGGGCATATGAAGCCTATGATTCTATAGGCCAGTAGATTGTGGTTCTGAAGAAGTGGTGAGGGAACCACAAAAGAATAACAAAGCATGGCCATTAGAAGTGCTAGTTTATTTTTTATTCCCATATATTTTGGTTGATCATCAATAAGGAAAGGTCAGTAAGGAAAGGCTAAAGTTTTACATGTTCAAAAGAAAGGCAAATAATTTATTCTGATACTGTACCTAGTTCAAGGATTCTCATAAATATTTATCAGCTAAAGGGCTATTCATCAAAATGATATGAATAAGTATCTGTGGATTTTGCAGAGCAGTTTCAGAATGTAATGGAAGGCAGATGCAGGCTAGGAACCAAACCTAGTCTCTTTTTTCTTTTTAAATTAACTCTGACCAGCCTCATGCATACTTGCTGCTGCACTGTTCTTTATCTCTCTCAGTGCTATAAAAAGGTTAAGATTGTGTATTGGTTAAGTATACTAGCCTAGGATCAGATACCGGTTGATCACTGAAGCATAAGCGGAAGGAAGATCAAGAAACCTTCCTTTCCCATTCATCCATCCACCCATCCGTGTGTCTTATTTAAAACTATAAATAAGTCTTTCTTCTTTCCCAGCTTTCCCTTAGCCAGGTTTTACTTTGCATTAGTATAACTGCATGTAGTAACCCTCTCCCCACTCCAAGATTGAAGAGGGGAAGACGGAGATCAGCTAGCCAGAGGGCAGCATGTGCCGTAACTGAACTGCACAAGTTCATCAATAGCTTAGAAAAATATGGTGCATCACTCAAGATTCTTGAAAAATATGGTTCATCACTCAAGGCAACTCTGCACTAACCCCATCTGGACCAGAACCTAACTTGCATGAATGAATCTTTCATTAGTGTTCCTGTGAAATGATAAAAACCCTACACTTTTCTTGACTCAGATAGAATTTGAAGTCTCACAGCTCCCTTAGGCTAAGTACAGACATTTGGGGAGGTTAAATCAGGTTCAAAATTGCTGCCTGACTTAAATTTAGCTCATCCTGGTGCCAACTTTACACTTACAGACTCAATCTCAGTGACCAGCATTCAGTCTAAACCTGTAACTGTACAGAAGTTCCATGCACATGAACTGGTCTAAAAATTGCAGAACACAGTTTAAGATAAACCTGGATCTATATAGTGTCAAACTTACTTGATCATAAATATCGTCACTTGATACATAGAACTTCTGTATGCTTTCCCTGTGGAGCCCCGAGACTGGGAAAACCCAGCCACTGTCCCTGCCCTGGAGCTGCTCTTTTCACCCTTCCCCTACACTGGGCTATTTTTGCACATGCCCCACTCCCAACCAGCTAGCCCTCTCAACCTCCATTCCACAAGCCGTTCAGCATGCAACTGCTTTTATCAGCGTTCGCTGCTGTTGAAGCTGAGCAAGTATATCCTGGTAGGGAGGAGGGGCAGGATGGAAGGAGGTGTAGGTTCATTGGGGAGAATCCCACCCTACCCATGGGTCACGCCAGCCCCACGCACCCCACCTGCAGGTCACACTTACCTCTACACCTCATTGGTCACACCTCCCCCCATTCCCCAGCAGACACCCAGCCCCTCTGCTAGCCCCTGCCATCCTGACTTACCTGATATCAGGCATCCTTTTTAAATCAATTTAACATCCCCCTAATGCACCCAAATGTCTATACTTAGTCTTAAGGATCAGGTCCATAGCTAGCAAAATTGGAGAATAGACCCCTACATTCTGTTGTGTTTCTGCTTTTATCTTTTTAACAGGGATCTTTCTCAGGGCCGGTCTATCAGTGGCCCGCCCACCTGTTTCTAGGCTAGCTGCCCACCTCCTCGCCTGCCATGCCTTGATATATAATTATGATCTTAATTAGGTGGGAGGCTGCCCATTTCTTGCCCCGATGCCAGGGGGCACTATCTGCAGCTCTGTTCCTCCCCTACAGAACAGCCCAAGCCTCGCAGATGGCATCCACAGTTCGTAGAGCATTACCCACCCCACACTGGGCCCCAAAATCCTTCAATCCAGACCCCAGCTAGATCTCTCCAATCAGGCAGCCTACTCCACCCTCATTATGGGCTGCCTTGCTCCCTGAACTCTTCCCCCTCTCAGGTGTGGCCCCCACCCCCCACCCCCGGGACCTTTGGCCACACAGGCCCTGGCCTCACCTCCAAGGCCAGTCAGAAACCCCAGGCCCTTTGCTCTGGACATCCCTCACAGTGGGCCCCTGGCCCTTTTGACCCTTCCAGTCCTGGCCACAGCATTGACCAGTCAAGGGTGTTTCAAGTGAGGCCTCTGAGCCTCTAGCTCACTCTCTATCCTGGGTCCACCTTCTTGGCCCTACTATGGTGTAACCTGACCGGTTGTGGGCTCTGGGGTTATTAAGGCACCCCGACCTACCTTTCATCAGGGTGGTAACTGGTATTTCCTGGGGGCTCCCGTGCCACTGGGAGCCCTACCAGGCCACCCATCCCCAGCAGGGTGCAGTTTTAGGTCATGCCCAGGACCAGGAGCCTCCAAGCCATCCCCTTAAACTCCTACCCTTACCTCCAGGGATGTTGCATACAGCCTTGCAGCCAGCAGCAAACTGCTCTGTTTATACAGGCGGCCAGAGATCTAAAATGGCTGGTGCCAACAAGCACTTGCTCAGCTCTTAAAGTGGCAGGGACCAACAGTGCCCTGCCACAATCCTATAATAAAAATTGGCATCTCTTTTTAAAAAATCATATGATTTTGAATTTAAAATGTTATTGTGGACTCTGCAAGTGTGGAATAAAGTACAGAGAACCTGATTAGATGCATAATACTCCAGCAGGTTTAAATGCTGCAAGCCTTTCTGAGGCTCATGCTTGTGATTAATGCAGTATGTTTATACAGAAAAAAAGTAGAAATAATATTAATTTGCATTTGGAAAATATATTTCAGCACAGTAGGATCCATATGTAGTCATATGCTATGTTCAGCACATGCATAAACTCATGGACATTGGTGAAATTGCACCAGAGATGTATTGGATTCATAACGTGGAATTCTATTCTCACTTATACTAATAAAAATCCTTTGCCATTAAAGTGATCTTGCACTCATACTAGTAGGACCAAAAGCAAAATTTAGCCCATTAAAATCTATCTCTACTTGCATAACTTGAAAATAGAAATTTGCAGAGGGCACACATGACATCATAGAAAAGGTAGGATGACTATGATAAATTGCAAAAAGCTGAAGCTAAAAATGTGTTTGCTATTTATTTAATTTCTGGCACTAGCTACACTTCTATTTTATTGTGGAAATATCCCCTTTAAAGCAGCTACAGATTGCTACGGTGTGATTTTATGTCTTCATTCACTCAGCCAAAATCTGACAACTGTGTATGTGCTATGCAGGCTATTGGAACTTTAATTATTTTATGTAAAAACCAAATTGTGTGTCCTTCAGTGTGATGACTCAGGATTTCTTGATGATATCTTCCTGGAGTCAGTCTCACTTGGTGTTCTGTCAGCTCTCACAGACATAATTACAGTTGCATTAGAATTACAATGTGCCAAATCAATCTTCCATTCTCATTTTCCTACAAGAGCTACCCAGATTTATAAATATATGTCTAGTCTTCAGGTAGAATATGGGGAAACTTTACTCAGATTAATTTTTACGCATTTCTTGTGCTTACAACCTTCTCTACCCACACAAATTACTTATTAGAGAGCCTAATATTTTAATATTTTAGGAGTTTACGAGGTTCTGGGCCAGATTCTCAGCTTGTGTAAATTGGCAGGGCTGTACTGAAGTTAGTGAAGCTTTACTGATTTATGTTGGCTGTGGTTCTGGCCCTGCTTCTCTAACCAGTTGCTTATTTTGCTCTTTAGATGGGCCTTAATAAATCTGTGAAGTGAGAAGATCATTAGGTGGCTTTTTTGCTTGCCAGATCCTATTGGTATCTCTTTTACTAGGGCTTAAATGAAAGCTGAAGACTTGCTTGTGGAGTAGTTAATTTACAGAATTGTAATGCTCTGGTGATAAAAACATTTCACAGAGCAGATTTAGGTTACATCTCTGAGTTTTATAAAAGTTAACCTTATAAAAAGTTATGGAAAATGTAATATTGTCCCCTCCATTTCATTTAGCTAAAATTCGACACTGTACATTCATTCTTATCAGATACTTCTTCCAGCAGTTTACTTCACTATTTGGTATCTGGCAACATTTCCTGTTGGCACCTATTCTTTTTTACTGGCAGTAGAATAGAGAAGTAAATTGAGAAGAACAATCGGCCAAATGATTCATAGAACAGCACTTTGTTTCAAAACATTTTACTTTCATTAAGCAATCTTTCCTCATACTCCAGTCGAATCCAGGTTTCTTTGATTTGGATGACTTATAAATCCCCAAAACTAATGTGCCTAATTCCAGGGGAAATTCAAAGGACACAATAATGTCTTAATTAAACCCTGCAAGTGGCAGCAAACAGAAGTGGAAACAGCCAAGACTGATTTCCTGTGCATCCAAAAGCTGATATTTGTTACTCTTAATCTTTTTGTTTGTTTGTTTGTTGGAGTTTTTTGTTTGTTTTTGGTTGGGGGGGGGGGTTACACTTCATTTCCTCTCTTTTGGGTTGGTATTTTATTGATATAATCAAAAGTTTATTAATGATTTACAAACTTGCAGAAAGACAAGTCAATTCTGGGTAAGTCTCCCTTATTCTTTTAGAAGGATGCAAAGAAGACATCAAATGTTGGAAATTCTAGCCCAAGATCCTTGCCATAATCAACTTTCATTTTAAGAGCCCAGTCCTGCAAAAGTTTTATCCACCTTAATGAGTGAAAGCTGGACCTAGATAAATTCAGAGTAGAACTCAGGTGCATTTTGTATATTTGTATAGTGTAATTACTTATTGAAACAATTTTCCTAGGGGTTTGGTGAATTCTCCATTGCATCCTTTAAATCAAGATTGGACAACTTTGTAAAAGAAGGAAGTTACAGTCTTGATCTATCAATGACACAGGATAATTCTTACAGTGATGGTCAGACTAAGTGATCTTAAGCATGCATTCGGGCATTAAAATCTATGAAATCTAATCTTTGCATAATGGGCAATCCTATTGAAATCAGTAGAGCAACTCAAATTAAACAGAATTAAATGTATGTAAAAGTCTTTGCAGGACTAAATATATAAATAAATCATAGCCACCTCTCCAACTCTGATCACTTACAATCACCATGTTTGCTTCAAAGGGATTTGAACTACATTATCCCAAGTAAATGATTATCTATGTGAACTTAATATTCAAAATACTTGGATGTCATCAAATATTATTATTTTTCTTTGCAGACCTGTGTTTAAGGATAATCAGGGAAATGTTGACAGAGACTCCCGATTCTCACCTTTGTTCAGGCAGGAAAGTAGTAAGATTTCAACTGAAGACTTGATTAAACTAATAGCAGAATATAAAAGGTAAGGAAAAATTGCTTTGGTTATGGATTGATAGAGACATAAAATAGTGTGTAATACCGTGTAAAATATTTTGCCATAATTTCACTCTTCACTTTGTGCAGCATGACTAGCCATGTAAAATGAGTGTTTTTCACATTTACCTATTATTGATCAATGAGTGATGTTGGCTGATTGTAACCCTGGGCCTGCTCGGGTCCCATCTACCAATGGCCACACCCACCTGTTCTGGACCAACTACCCACCTTCCCACCTGCCACACCTTGTTGTTAATTAATTAATGATCTTAATTAGGTGGGAGACTGCCCATTACTTGCCCCGATGCCAGGGGGTGCTATCTGCGGCTCCGTACCTCCCCTACACCATAGCCCATGCCTCGCAGATGGCATCCACAGATGTTAGTCTCACTGGCCCCACACTGGACCCCAGAATCCTCCAATCAGAACCACTCTAAGATCCTTCTATTCAGGCAGCCTACCCTGCCCTCATTCAGGGCCGCTTAGCTCCCTGAACCGTTTCCCCTCTCGAGCATGGTCCCCCCCGGGACCTTTGGCCACACAGGCCCTGGCCTCACCTCCAAGGCCAGTCGGGATTCCAGGCCCTCAGCTCTGGGCATCCCTCGTGGCGGGCCCCTGGCCCTTTTGACCAGTCTGGTCCTCACCCCAGCATTGACCAGTCGAGGATACTCTATGTCAGGCCTCTGAGCCTCTAGCCCCACTCTCTCGGGTCTGCCCTCTGGACCCTACTAGCGAGTGACCCACCCGGTTGTGGGAGCTGGCATTAAGGCACCCCAACCCACCTTTCACTGGGGTGGTAACTGGCCTGGCATTTCCTGGGGGCTCCCGTGCCACTGAGAGCTTCACCAGGCCACCCACTCCTGGCAGGGTACATTTTTAGGTCATGCTGAGGACCAGGAGCCTCCTAGCCATTCCCTACAGCTCCTCCTCCCTTACCTCCAGGTGATACATGAAGCCTCACAGCCAAGGAGCTGGTCTATTTATATAGGCAGCCAGGGATCTAAAATGGCTGCTGCAATCAAGTACCTGCTGGCTGCTTGGCTCAGATCTTAAAGTGGCAGGCACCAACAGTGCCCTGTCACACTGATCTTGCCAGGGAAATTGGGAAGGCCTTTTACATAATAAACATTATACCAACTTTAAGATAGTTAGATTCTATTAGCAGAGATACAAATGAAGAAGCAAAAGAGAAAACCTTGTGAGAAAAGGGGAAATATATATAAAAATGGTCCTTTAATGGTGCTCCCTCTCCAGTTATTTTTTCTAATATGAATCTCCATAGCAAACCATGCAGTGTATAGTGGCAGCCTCCACTTCTGTCTAATATTTGCCAATATGTGGATTTTTAGTTATTTGTCAAGTGTAAATACATAGTCAAGTGTAAACAAGCATTAATTACACTGAAGTTAGTGTTTACACCAGTGTAAGTGATGGGCAAATCAGGACCAGAATCTCTTCCAAATCCTCCCATTCTAAAAATAGTCTATAACTAATCACTTGATTAAGCATTTATATTCTACTTATATGCAATCATTTTAGAAACTGATCCAGTGCCCAGTGAAGTCACTGCCATATCCTCTATGGGCCGTGGGTCAGGGTCTTAATTTATTGCCCTCATGTCACAAGTGGTGGGCTGTGAACTGCGTCAACATTCCCAGTGTGCTCTGTATAAGGTTAGTCTTTGATAAGTCATCTTATCTGAAGCATCTCCATTTTTAAGAAAAGAACAAATCAGCTTCAGGTTTCTCGCAGTTTTCAGGGCATCATGCAGACTATCTCAGTTGCCTCTCCACATGGCTCCTAGTGGATGTTTTTCCTGAATGAGCCATGATCCTTTGATCTCCCCATAAATCTGTGCTCCCAAAATTCCCTTTAAAGGACCATTTGTTTTAAAAAGTAGGTAATGGTTTTAGATCCATAACTTTTGGCTATGGGGATGACAAAGAGAATCTGGTCTGAAGGAGGAATGTTAAACTATTTGAAGTATTTCTCAAGGTGTTACTGATTTCATATCAATTACCCCGTTATAATCTGAGCAGGAGAAAAATGTCATTGTGTTTCTTATACAATTGAGTATCTCTATTTAATATAATGTTTTACTGCATAATCTATTTCATTATATAAACTCTTGGCTACATTTCATTTTATCTTGATCTCACAAGTTACGTGCAATGACCCCATGTGCTAACTTCCTCAAAATGTTTCATTTCTGTTGCAGAGCAGAGAAGATCAGCAAAATACAGACGATACCTGGCAGTCTAGACATTGCAGTAGATTGTGTCCCTTTGGAACACCCAAGTATGATTACATTTTATAATTATTCAGAGTTTGTAAAATTTAAGCCTAAATTACTGCTGCCAACCTCCCTGATACCTGTGGGAGCTGAGGACACTTAGTTGCTTTCAGGGTAGAATCATAAAAAAATGGTGTTGGAAGGGACTGCAGAAGGTCATTTAATCCAACCCCCTGCTCAAAGCAGAACCATCCCCAACTAGATCATTCTAGCCAGGGCTTTGTAGAATTGGGCCTTAAAAACCTCCAAGGATGGAGATTCTACCACCTCTCTAGGTAACCCGTTCCAATGCTTCACTGCCCTCCTAGTGAGAAAGTTTTCCCTAATATTCAACCTAATCCTCCCTTGCTGCAATTTGAGGCCATTGCTTCTTGTTCTGCCATCTGCCACCACTGACAACACTCTAGCTCTATCCTCTTTGGAACCAACCTTCATGTAGTTAAACCTACCCCTCATGTTATCAAATCCCCCCTCAGTCTTCTCTTCTGCAGGCTAAATAAGCCCAGTTCCCTCAGCCTCTCCTCAAAAGTTATGTGCCACAGCCCCCTAATCATTATCATTGCCCTCTGCTGGACTCACTCCAATTTGTCAACATCCTTTCTATAGTGTTGGACCCAAAACTGGACACAGTACTACAGATGTGGCCTCACCAGTGCAGAATAGAGTGGAATAATTACTTCCCTTGATCTGCTGGCAACGCTTCTATTAATGCAGCCCAGTATGCTGTTAGCCTTCTTGGCAACAAGGGCACACTGCTGACTTATATCCAGATTATTGTCCACTGTAACCCCCAGGTCCTTTTCTGATGAGCTGCTGCTGAGCCAGTTGGTTCCAAGTCTGTATCAGTGCATAGGATTCTTCCATCCTATGTGCAGGACTTTGTACTTGTCCTTGTTGAACCTTATGAGATTTCTTTTGGCCCAATCCTCCACTTTGTAGAGGTCATTTTGAATCCTAGCCTTAACTTCCGGTGTATCTACTACACTGGCCAGCTTGGTGTCATCCACAAACTTGCTTAGAATGCAATCCATCCCATCTTCCAGATCATTAATGAAGATATTGAACAAAAACAGCCCCAGGACTGACCCCTGGGACAGTCTAGGATAAAGAGCTATATCAGTGCATGTTTTTGTTAAGATTGAGTCCTGTGAAGAGGTCTGAGTTTTCCTAAGTGGGGCACTTGTATGGAAGTGAGGAATTAAATTAAGAGCTGGTGATGCCATTCAGCTTCAGTCATTGGAATACAGAGTTATTTGGGTATAAGAAGGGCAACTGGATATCCAAATCTGAATCGAATAGGGCCCACTTCGCACACCCCTAATCAATACTTCTAGAATCAGTGTCCTTGACTGCCTACAGTTAGCATACTTTAGATATGCATTTACTCTGTTCTTTGTTGACAGGATATTTTTATTCATTAGCTATCTATTGAACTGAATTCAGATGCCCTGATTCTGTCACACATTAAATCTAGTTCAAATACCTATTGCTTCATCTCATTTGTTGCCTTTTAGATAGCAGCTCAATGTAAAAATTCACGAAAAATTGGAATACAAAGAGTTGTTATTTCCTCTAGAAACAATATCTTGTCATCTGTTAATGACATTTTAGTTATGTTTAGAATGATAATTTTGTTGAAATTATAAGTGTTGATAACATTACTATATTTTGTCTTGGATAATGTAAATTTAAAATCTTTTCAGTGCTATGTTATTAAAGTTAGGTAGAGGAATTTACTTAAATATAAATCACAGGGATTACTGTAGATCTACATAGATGAAAAGGGGGTTGAAACTAATGTGGTCCTTCGCATGTAGATAATTCATAGTAAATGCTTATTTTTAGTGTTTTAAAAGAACATAAAATGTGACAACTTCATTTTCTGTTCTTTTCAAGATTGTGTAACATCATCTTTTATTCCAATCAAGCCATTTAATGATATAAAGGAGCATCAACCTACAGTGGAAGTGGAGGAATTTGTACAAGAATCAACAAAATATTCTCGGCCTTATAGGGTGTATAAGAACCAAATATACATCTATCCAAAACATCTCAAGTATGATAGCCAAAAATGCTTCAGTAAGGTACAGTAAGCAATATTTTAAGGACTTGATTCAATATGATTAATAGTGTTGAATATTTGCTTACTCCATGAATAGTCTCACCAAAATCAATAAGACCACTCAAGGTAGCTGAAAACTGCTGAATTAACTTCTTCTCTTTTTTGCCTCTTTATATGGAATCTTGAAACACAGAAAGAATTCCCTGGAAGTTATTTTAGATATTAAAGAAAACTTTTAGGCCCAGGGTCAGCAACCTAATGCCTACAGGCCAGTTCTGGCCTGCAGAACCACTGGATCCAGCCCCTGGAGCTGGGGCCTCAGCAGCAGCAGGTTTATCTATTCCATGGCACACAGCAGCTGGGCAGCAGGGAGCTTTTCTGGGCCACACTGCAGCTGGGCAATGGAGAGAAGTGGAAACGGAGAAGCAGCAGCAGTGGGTGGGTCCTAGCACTGGCTCACCTGTGACCCAAACTAATCCATTCCAATCTGCTGCTGAAAAATGTTGCTGACTGCTGTTTTAGGCTACCAGGACAGTTCAAAGACTAGGTATTATCATAATAGCTATTTTGTCCTCTAAGGACATACATTTTAATTACATACATAAATTAAATGAAACTGGAGAAGTATTTTGCATATTAATTTTGACTGAATATCAATTAAAGACCAGATGGGGCTATACAGTGGCCATTTTACACTCTGCTTCTGTCCAGTGCAGTTAATGCCCAATTTTAAACCTGCAAGGTCTTCTTTTCACATTTTTTTTATTTTCTATGGTTTCTCTGGGAGGTAACGATTCTTAGAAGTTGGCTTGCTGTCCACAGGATGTTCTACAGATTTTGAACACAGTCTATTATATTTAAACTATTTCTGATTATCTTTAAACTCATGAGCTGACGATTTCTGTCTGAATGTCTAATTCATTACTATTGCAGGCAAGGAATATAACAGTGTGTATTGAGTTTAAGAGTTCAGATGAAGAAGGAGCCAGGCCACTGAAGGTAAGCAAAATCAAAGCTCATCCGAGAGCAATGTATTGAAAGAGAGTGTGTGTGTTTATGTATGTGTGTGTGTGTGTGTGTGTGTGTGTGTGTGTATATATATATATATATATATATATATATATATATAAAACCCAGCAGTTAAGGTATTGTAATCTGATACATTTAAAGAATGAATATTGAAATATAGTCTTTTACATGTTCACAATGATCCTTTTTAATACCAGATATTGACCGTAGCACCTGAATAAGGGCCTTGTTACACGTTAGTTTTGGTCAGCTCTTGCCGCTCTTAACTTCTGGATTGTCTACATATTAACACCTTTAAGTGGTTTAAAGCACCTGTTATGCAGCTCAAAGTTATGCCACTCCAGGATAGGATTATCTCTTGATCCACTGTAACTGAGCACCTGTTCCATTAAGGTGTGGCCATTCCCCACAGATGTGCTGCTCAAATTGAAAGTGTGACTACAAGTTAGCACTAAACTGATCAACATTTGTGTGGCTCACAGCATAACATGTAAAAAGGCCCATGCCAGTTCTGCAGTGTTAGTTTCCTGACTGGAGAAAATTAAAAACCTTGGAAAATATTAATATTTTTAAGAAAGAAGGCAGTGCCATTAGAACTGATAGGTGAGACTTAAAATTTCATGCCATGCTTAATTTATAACTTTATAGGGCATGGGGACAGAGAGAGCCAGGAGCATATATATTAACAGTGCAAAGCTGGGTTTTCAAACTTCAGTGATGAAAATCCCACACCTAAAGCCAAGTTTATTTCCTGTTTATGACATATTCAGATTCTCAACCAGTAAAAGTTACCATAGGTACATAGTTGATGACAGTGGGACTGTGCTAATTTATGCCTGCCATAGAAGTTGCACGGCTTGATCCAATGTCCACGGAAGATAATAGGAGCCTCTCTGTTGTTTTGAATCAGGAGTTTAGGCATCTAAATTAAGAATTTCCTTACAGTCAAGGGTAGGATGGGTAACTTCTGGCCTACAAAGCCATTTTATCTGGCCTGGGACCCAAACTAGGTTGTTTTGGCCTGCTCTTGTTAACCATTTTTGACCTCTGGACTGGGGCAGGGGTGCTCAACCCCTGGCCTGAAAGCTGGATCCAGCCCACCGTGTTGTGCCATCTGGCCTGTGGAGTTCCCAGTGAGTCCGGAAATTTAGTGGCAAGCAAGTGGTATCACGGTTCCCAAATTTCTAGACACATGGGGAGCCCTGAACCCTTTCTGCTGCATGAGTCGCCCAATCCCAGCACACAAGGCCAGGTGGCAGTGCCACCAGGCCCTAGGGCCCAATCCCAACATACAAGGGATGGGTGGAGCCAGTACCAGGCACTTGGGTCCAATTCTGGTACACTGGGGCAGTGCCAGGCTCCTGGGGCCCATCCCAATGGGAGGGGGCAGTACCAGGCCCCACTACCCAATCCTGGCACCAGGCTCTCTCTAGCCCACTGGCTGGCCCTATACCATTCATTAGCATGACTGTGGTACTTTAATAAGAACATCAGCATTAGGTTTCCAAAGTCAGCCTGTAGTAGACAGAGTTGTTTAGCTCAGCAGGGCACAAGACTTCAAAGAACCTCAGGTTTCTTTTCAACTATGCAGTTTACCATAGATAGACTGTCTGCTTGTTACCTTTGCACATCATTTTCCCCATCAGTAAAATAGAGTTGTTGACAATCAGTAATCAAGAATCTTTGGCCTATCTCCTGCCAATTCTGGCAGGTGGTTGTTATTGTTTTCGTCATGCCTAGAAATCTCTTCAAAGGACTGAGGCTGCACTGTGCATCTAAGGAAAAGTCATTTTTAGAGAATTTTTTTCTTTCAAACTATAGCTGAAAATTAGTTATTAGTATTATCAGCAAACCTCAACAATTGAATTGAAGTCTGATTTTATTAACAGTGTATTTATGGGAAACCTGGAGGGCCGTTATTTACAAGAGCAGCCTATACCGCCGTGCTGCATCATTCACAGAATCCTGATTTCTATGATGAGGTCAGTATACTCTTTCACTGATTAGAAGCTGTTTCTCTGGCAACACATATTTACTTGAGATATAAAACAAAAATTGCTAGGGTTCTAAATGTTCATATATGCAAGTGAGTGTACATTGCATTAGCTAGAGAGATTTTGCATGCAGGATAATAGAAAATGTCACTATTTCTTTCAGCACATTTTAGAGGATGGTCCTTCTAAATTATTTTGTATGTTGTTGTAGTATTTGATTATTATTAATAAACAATCCTGTGCTCTAACATGTGTGCATGCACTGATGGCTAGGATCTGTATTTTGCTCTAGAACATGTTTTCAGTATATTATTCTTTCTATGATGCAGAGCATAAAGTGGAAAAGGCCCTCCATATCATGTAAGTCCCAAAATGGGATCCCTTTATGTATCCAGGGGCCTGAATGCAGCACGTAAGCAGTGTGCAGTGGCTGTAGCTAGTACTTCAGCTTCTGAGGGGATGTGGGTTTAGAATGGATCTCTCATCCTGCCCCCAGATTGATGAGGGCACTAGTAGTTGCTTCAGTTACCCACCTGATACATGTCTGCTTGATGAACATAGAACCTACCTTCATAGACTTTATACTGGTGATTGGAAGTTCACTCAGCTCAATCTATGTTGTTCCATAACTATGAAGGGAGAAATTCCCTCACATGCAGAGTATCCATTTAAACACCATTTACATACCTTAAGTGGAACTGAAAGGCTCAATTTTCAGAGGTTTTGATCACCCAGGGACTTCAAACTGAGTTTTGGGTGTTTAGCACTTCTGAAAATATGCTCAGTTGGTGCATAAGGCTTTGTATGTACACTCTGCCTTTGGCCGAGTTTCTTCTGACTTGAATTAAGTATTGAGTTAAGACCTCATGGGGCAGAGCACAATTGGGGTGGTAGCCACTTAGTATGGGCTGCAGCAGGCTGGAGAAGAGCCTGCATGGACGGCAGCTGGGAGACACCCCTGAGAAGTCATTTTAAGGGGGAAGGTGTGTGGCGGGGCAGCATCAGGGTGCTTGCCACTTAAGGGCTGTAGCAAGCTCTGAGTAAGCCTACTGTGTGAGCAGCAGGAAAAGCCTCCCTCAGGAACCACTTTAAGAGGGAAGGTGGATGGCAGAGTGCCTTTGGTGTCTGCCACTCCAAGGAGGAGAGCAGTCAGCAGACAGGTATAGGCCAGCCCTGATGAAGGGGGCATTTTAAGATCCTGGTTCTCAGGGCTGGGGCACCAGTTTGCTGCCAGCAGCCAAGGGAGCAACAACACCTGGTTTCACTGTTGCTCAAGGAACATATTGGAGGTAAGGGCAGGAGCTATGGGGATGGTAGGATGCTCCTAGTCTTGGGTATGACTGGAAACTGCACCCTGTCAGGGAAGGGTGGCCTGGTAGGACTGGCCATGGCGGGACAGTCTCCCAGAACTGCCAGACCAATATCTCAATGAAAGGCGAAGAGGGATGCCTTAAAACCCCAGCCCCCACCAGTCTGGTGGGTTATAACACCAGAGGGGAATAGAGCCAAGCATGCCCATGAGAGGGGCACCTGAGCTTATAGGGGTTTAAGACCCCATAGAGTAGTGGGGCCAAGCACGCCCATGGGAGGCACCTGAGCCTGTGGGGGCATAAGACCCTGGAGCCCCAGCAGAGGGGACAAGTGTGTTGAGCCCATAGAGTGGGGCATGAGTGTGTTGAGGTCCCAAGGAGGGGGTGAGTGTATGGAGCCCCAGAGAGAGGCGAGTAAGTTAATGGCCCTTGAGTAGGGGGCAGAGACGTCCAAGGTAAGGCGTCAGGCACCTGAGGCTGCATGTGGGCCTAAGGCCAAGTGAGGCAGCATAGAGAGGACCGTGAGTGAAAGGGGTGAGTCACTGGCCCCAATTAGGAGACCAGTGGGCTGGGTTACCCGGTGAGGGGCCAGAGGCAGGGTTAAACCAGTGTTTGGCTAATTGCCTGGCCACCATGCAGATGAGGGTCACAGGAGAGGCCCAAAAGGCTGCGCCAGGGCCGGCGAAGGAGTGAAGGGACAACTGGCCCCCGTGGCCGCTCAAGGAAGCAGGCTGGGGTGAATGAGGCCCAGTAAAGGGCAAGAGTGTGAGAGGCCTAGTGAGAGTTGGCAGGTGATAGAGGCCCCAGTTACAGCAGGGCTTTATGCATGAGGCCCAGAACAGGGCAGTATGACAGAGGCTCAACAATCTGCTGAGTTGGGCCCAGCCTCAAGCTGGAATATAGGATAACTCATGGGAGTCATCTGTGAGGCATGGGACATGATAAGGGAAGGTTAGAGTCATGTGTTTACCGCCTGTGAACAGCAGGGTGCTCAAACGGCAGCCTGCCACCTAATTAACATAATAACTAATTTACAACAAGGCGTGGCAGATGAGTAAGGCAGGTGGCTTGCCCAAAAACAGGTGGTGGGCTGGCACTGTGACTGGGGCTGGGAGTTTGCCCCTGTCACACCTCTACCTAACAGAGACTGATTTGGGTGGGTCAGGTGCACAGTATTGTCACTGATGAGCAATTAATTTTGTTCAATATCTAGAAGAAGTTATTATAAAATCTAAATACATTTTTGAAGCTTCATGTTTAAACAACCATTTCACTGCTATGATTTAAGTATGTGATATGTTTACTCTGATCTGATTTAATACCAGAGGTGTTTCAACAATTCTTAGCCCTTCCTTTAACTACATATTTAGTTTTGGTATATTACTGCTATCGTTCCTATTAGTTACCACAGTAACACAGGTAGCATATTCCAATAGTAAGTATCAACCGACCTTATCTTTGAACAGGTTACTGAACAAGAGACAGAGGCAGACAAGGTTGTGTCTCTTCACTCTAACTGGGAAGAAGAACTTCTTCCCAGTTAGAGTGGCCAGGGGCTGGAACGGGCTCCCAAGGGAGGTGGTGCTCTCCCCTACCCTGGGGGTCTTCAAGAGGAGGTTAGATGAGTATCTAGCTGGGGTCATCTAGACCCAGCACCCTTTCCTGTTTATGCAGGGGGTCGGACTTGATGATCTATTGAGGTCCCTTCCGACCCTAACATCTATGAATCTATGAATCTATAAGGTTCTTTGGATAGATGTGGTATCTATCTTTAATTAGACCAGCCAAATAGTTGGAAAACTTATTCTTTGCAAGATTTGGGGCACAAACACCCTTCTTCAGGCATAGGGAAAGTCTGTTGGTATTTGTGTGCTTTCCTGGGTAGACTAGAAGCCAAAATTCAAAATGCAGATCTGTGAAAATGCAAATATGTGGTAGTAAGGTTCAAAGGGAATGGGAAACACTAAGTATGAAAAGGTAGTTGGGGTGAAGTTCGTAGGCTCGTCTATGAAAGGTGTTTTGTAAATTCCCTTTGAGTATTAGAACTGACAGATTGGAGAGAGAGTGCTTTTCTCGTGAGAAATGTACACCTACAGATAATTGGGTATTTTTGTCTTTGGTAGATTTTTTGGTGTGCATTCATTCTGGTACTCAGTTCTTGTTTGGTTTCTCCTACATATTTTCCATCAGGGCATTTAGTACCCTTAATGAGATACATTACATCTCTGGAGGTGCAGCTGTAAGATGCAGAGATGCTGATGGTTCAGTTGTGGGGTGCAGTTATTGTGGGAGTGGTGATATGTTGGCAGGTTTTACATTTTTGTCCCAGCATGTTCTGGATCCGTTCAGTGTGTTTTCGGCCGTAGGAAGTTTGCTTCTGGTGATGAGCTTGGCAAGGTTCAGTGCTTTTTAAAGGCTAAGATGGGTGGTTCTAGAAATATCTCTTTATGAGTTGGGTCTTTTTCTAGTGTATGGGTTGTGAATGTTTGAGGATTTTCTGTGCAGATTCCTGGGAAGGATGGTATGTCATACCTAAAGGTGTGTGATCCATGAGGGTTTTCTTTTTGTACTGCAGCAATTCTTCACGTGGTACCTAGGTGGCTCTTTCAAAAGTACAATCTATCTCTCTGGAGAAGTGTCCTTGTTGGGTGAAAGCCCTTTTGAGATTTGCAAGGTGACAATCACAAGTATTCTCAGTGCAAATTTGGTGGTATAGGAGGGCTTGGTTGAATAAGAGAGAGCTTTTCTTCACTGGAGCTATTGGGTTTAAGACTCATCCGAGATCCTAAATAAAAGTTCTAAATGTTATATGATCCCTTATTCGCTTTCAAACTTTGCCAGAAAATCAATGATGATAAAGCAGCGTTAGGATTTTTTTTTAATATAAATGGTATTGAGATGACTCACTCTTGTTAATAGTTATAGAAAATGAGAGAATAGTTACAGTTAGTGCTGAGGTACCTAGTATTGAGGTGACTGTTTCTGAGCAGTCTGTTTGACAAAGGTCTCTCAGTTTTCAATTGTATCCCCTTTTCAGTAGAAACTCAGATACTCACTCAAAAGAATGAGAAGAAAAATTAGATTAAGGGAGAGTAATAAATAGTCGGTCACTCTAAATGATTTATTTAAAGGAATAGCTGTGACTTGGGTTGAACAGTTGCCAGTAAAAGCCAGTTTAATTAAAGTTCTGTGTAGAGAGATTTCTTCCTTGTAGCCCATCTCTGACTTCTGGTTCGATCAATTTAAACTAAAGAGAGGTGTAACATTTTACATTTCAGGTGAAAATTGAACTTCCCACCCAGCTCCATACGAAACACCACATTCTGTTTTCATTTTATCATGTTACCTGTGACATAAATGCAAAAGCTAATGCCAAAAAGAAAGAGGCTCTGGAAACACCAGGTACCTGCTGTAGACTTATTTTCAAATAATTCCTTGCTAATTTTGTTTGCATTAGATATATATAATTATAGAAATAATTATATATATATATACACAATGATATGTGTTCATCTAAGGTTTAAGGATTTAATAATTTCTATTTGTGGCTATTATTTACTCTGTTCTTGTGCTTTAAAGTGTCTTATTGATTTGCTTTTATGTGCAGTTGGATACGCGTGGCTTCCTTTATTGAAAGATGCCCAGTTAGCTTCTCAAGAACATAACATTCCAGTGGCAGCCAGTTTGCCTCCCAGTTACTTAAGCCTTCAAGATCCCGCAAGTGGAAAGGTATTAAGTAATATTTGCGTGTTCAATGGAATAGAAAGCTAGAAGTTGCATGAAGTTTAAAACAGTAGGACCACATTCTCATGTATACCTCTCTGGCAACATAAAGGGGGCTTGGTGTAAATAATAAACTGGCCCCTACTGTTTAGAGTCTTTACATGTTTATCTCTCATGAATTAAAGTAGTATACATAACACAAAGTCATGGGCTAAATTTTGCTGCTTATAGAAGTGTGCTTGGATTTATCTCACCTAAGTGATTTAATATCTCCAAAGCTCTTGAAGGCAACATAACAAAGAGTGGCCCTTTCTACAGTTTTAAACCTGATCTTCTACAAAGTCTGATTACTATGAGCCCCCAGATCTGTGGAGTGGGACAAGGATTCCCAGTTAAGAATACTCAGCAGAGGAACTTCCAGCAGTTTTTGCTCCCTTGCACTCACTCTGCATAGTGGGTGCATCTACATGTGCGCTCTACTAAGGAGTTAACTAGTTTTGCAGTAAAGTGTCATGGTCTATACATGAGCCCACATTAGGGCGCAGTAAATTAATTAACTCTGCTGTAGGATAGTACTGTTGGGGACACGCATGTAGACTGTGACGGGGCTGAATGGGGCACGGGGGTACTACAGTGTGGGGGGCTGCCTGTCAGCTAACACCACACTGTAGCACCTCATGCCCCAGCCAGCCCTTCTTCTGCCTTCCACTGCCACCTGGACCCTGAGGCTGACCCCCCGGGCCTCTTGCCAGCCCAAGGCTGCTCTGCCCTGGCTCAATGGGCTGCTGTCCCAGGCTCACATGTAAACACTGTGCCTGGGAGCAGCTGACTCTGGCACAAGCTGCACCACAGTTTATCACATCAGACTAATTGCACATATAAATTCACCCAGTGAGAACAGAACAGCTCCATGGATAATATTCTATTTCATTTGGCCCTAATAAAACTGCATGGTACTATTGTGACTGCTGGCACAGTAACCCATTTTTGAGTATTTAAAGTAGTGCAGCCTACAGCACCGCACAAGCCTCAGCATTCACAACAGTGCAGCAAAAAGTGACAATGTTGAACTGAACAAGCATGGAAATAATTGGAGAATATTTTTTACAGCACTGTGCAAGTGACATAAAGTGGGTAGACAGTGGCAAGCCACTTTTCAAAGTGTCTTCATTTGTTGTATCAACGGTAAATACTCAGGTGAGTTTGAATTTTCTTTTGGCTATCTTTACCTACTTACCAGAAATGAGAATTATAAAAAAAAAAATTCAGGCAAATGCTCTTAATACATCTCATACCTTATCCAAATCTATGCTTCTAAAGATCTTTTGAATGTGGGAGGGATAAGGAAGTAGAGCAAAAATACTCCTTTTCTTACAAGTGAAGAATTATTTAAGATGATACAGGAGGAAACAACCAGAAATTAAGAAAGGGAAAATTGAAGATGAATATCAGATAAAAATGTTCTAACATTCAAATGTCATCAACCGTGGAAAAGCCTTATTGCTCAAAACACTTAAAATACATTGGACTAGTTCTACAAAACATACTATAAGCAGCAATGCTTGTACTAGCAGATGGAGAGACTCAGTGGTCTATCCCTTATCATTCTTTTCTACATCTGATTCCTGTCACTCTGACATGTTAAGAGTCCTATATGATACTAAATAAACTTTCTATAATCCATCCACTGTTACACATCTGATTTTCAGTCCGTGCTGCAATATCTATTAACTTTGATATAATGTTTACCATTTTAGGATCCATATCTGAATAACTTTTTCCAGCAGTGCCAAAAAAGGGAAAAGGATCTCTCCAACCCTCCTACCTCAAACTTTATCATCTCCTGTAAGGTAAAGTAGGCTGAAGTAGGTAAATAAAATTTACTAGTGCTCTCTGAATTTGCCTATTTCCTATTTATGTGGCAAGAAATGGACATGATATAAATCCCTTCCTGTCTGGATCAAAATATAGATCTCACTTCTGCTTATGTTCCTGAATTGATGCATGCCCTACAATGTATCCTTTATGAAATCTGAAAATGAATGGGTGACAGCTGTGCTGTATTATAGTAAAGGTGGGCAAAGCAGAGGAGTCAGCCTTATAATATGCAACCAACATGATGCATATGGATGCATCTAGTAAAGAACCTGCAGTCTCAGAGGAAAGGATGAACTAAAATACTGAATTGCAATTATGAAATATATTTTACTACTTTAATGATAGTCTGTGACATCTTATAGTAATGTCAAGGTTCATAAATTATAGTGCTGGGTTCCTTTTTCATCGCTAAATTTTCATACTTGAACATAATTAAGCTGAGTTTATTAAGGTGTTCAGCAAAATATAATTTTGCTGTAATGGTGGCTTTCTGGACAACTGTTTAAAGATACCTGCTAATTTTGTTTAATATATGTGAATGTACCTGAAAGTGATATATTTGACTTTTAAGTGGCATCAATTAGTGCTAGTTGATTTAGTATACAAGATTAATGAACATTTCCATAAACAGATGTCCCAGCTTCCACCAGCTATATTATCCTCTTTATTTGTGAGAATTCAGAAAGCTACTGAACCTTTGAGAAAAATATTTATACAGCCTCCAAATTTTATCAATATTGGGATGGGTGATTAATCATTCAGAATATTTGAAGCATACTGTTTACTACTTGCTGCTTGCTCTTTGCTTCGTTAATGCATTTCAATCATTTAATCAAGAAGAAAATATTTTATTGTGCGAGTTAGTTGACCAATCCTGATATAAATAATAGATTACAAATGTTCAAATTTAACAGTTCATAACCAAGCCCTCAGCAGAAAAATACTTGGTTTCTGTTTATGAGTCACCAGTACTTTTGAAACAATGAATAATGATTATGAATAATTAAGTAATCAAAACACAGGGCTAAATTCATTAGAACTCTTTTATTTTTAATTAATAGCTCAATTTACTCTCTTACCAGTAAAAGATAATGGAGTGTCAAAGTCTAGTTAGTCTAGACACTAGAGTGCACATATTTTTAACCAGAGTGATTTTGACTTGGTCATAGCTGTTTTATCCACAATGAAACTCTGAAATAGAAAAATTAATTTGATCCCAATGGAATGTACAGATTTATATTTTCAACAAATCTAGTCAGGGAGAAAATTCTCCTTTTTTTTAATTCTGGTTTTATGTCATCATAACACCATTGATTCCATTTTAAATATCTGTTGGTGAAATCTGTATAACAAAGTGGAGAACCAGGACTACCTGCATGGTGACATACAAAAAGAAATCCCATTACTCTGCTTTGTGTCTCTTACAGAATTTGCTGAAAATTGAGAAGATCCATGCAATTATGAATTTTCTTCCTGTGATCTTGAATCAACTCTTCTCAGTTCTGGTACAAAATGATGTGGATGAGGTTAAAACTGCTGTGACCAGGTAACCAAAAATGTTTTATCTTTAAAAAAACTGGGGGCAAATCCATCACAAAGGGCAAATAATCCAGAGAGTCCTTTTAACAAAGCTACACTTGAAATTTTGATTTTAAAACAAGATGAGTTCAGCCTCTTGAAAATGTCTGACTGCTAAGATAATGCAGAGTTCAGCATTCAAGTCTGAGAGCTACATTAGAGTAAAACTTCTTGGTATAATATCACATCACTGGCAAATTACACTTATAACACTAAGGGAGAAGATTTCACCTCTGTGCCACGATAAAATTATTTATGGCAGCACAAAAGGCAAGCAAACAGATATTCATCCCCCCAAATTTGTGCTTCTATTTTGCATCTGACATCTGTTTGCTTTAAGGCAGGAGAACACAGGCAGCCTGGAACTAGCTACCTGTGTTCTCCAGCTGCCCTGGGCAAGTGTTCCCAGGGTTTCAAGGGCCTGATCCTGTGTGCCCTGGGAATTTCCATTCCTGGAGCATGCCGGAATGGGTCCTCAACACCCTAGGAGTGCCTGCCTGGGTTTCCCCATTTGGGATTCCCTGGAACCATACCAGAGTCAGCTTTCCTTGTTTACAGAGATGTGCCCTGGAGATTCCCTGGGATGTGTCTCTACAAGCAAGGAGCACATTGCCCCTTATTCCATAGGGTCAACAGTGAGGAAAATGGGCAATGTGTGTTTCACCCAGTGAGACGTATCAGCTGGCACCTCCTGGCACAGCTGATCCTCTTCATTTGGTGATATCTATTTATACCCTCACAGAACTATTGTCCCTCTACAAGTAGCACTTGCAAATCAGTTGACGACCCTCTGAAGTACTGGGAAATCCTTGAACAGTGTTGAGTATCATCAACTTTGACTTCATTTAGGAAGTGCACTTCAGCATGTAGTATGATCAAGTCTGTCACCAAGAGAGTCAGATCTCCCTGTTCTGGACAGTTTCTAATGAAAGTATTTATGAAATGACAGAACAGGGAAAGCATTATCCAATAAGTTAAGTCAGTTGCAGTTATTCACTAAGTGACTATAAGCTTCAGGAAATGCCTAATTAAAGTATCTTTATTATTAATAATAACCCTGAAATCAGAAAAATCTTAAGGGGAAAATAAAGTATGTGACAAGGGGCAAGCTCAGGGCCAGGTTTCAACCTTGACCCGCCCACCTATCTACACAAGCCAGTCTGCCCAGTCTCATCTGCCACGACCTGCTGGTTTAATAAACTAATGTTTTAAATGGGAGGTTGCCCATTATAATGCCTCGATGCCAGGGGGCACTATCCACCACTCCATACCACCTGTACACCATGGCCCATGCCTTGCAGATGGCATCATAAGTTCTTAATGGCTCCAGCCCCGCACTGGGCCCCATAACATTCTAGTCTCCACCCCAACCTGATCAGGTGGTCTGCTCCACCCTTATTCTGGACTGCTAAACTCCCTGCACTCTTCTCCCACTCAGCAGTAGCCCCTCTCTGGGACTTTTGGCCTCACAGGCCCTGGCCTCACCTCTAGGCCAGTCAGAACCCCAGGCCCCCCGGCTGTGGGCATCCTTTGTGGTAAGCATTCTGGCTCTTTTGACCCCTCTAGTCCTGGCCTCAGCATTGCCTAGTTGAGGGTACCTTGGGTCAGGCTTCTGAGTAGCTAGCCCACTCCCTCTTATACAGGTCTACCTTCTTGGGCCTCTTCCAACAACAGTTGTGGGAGCTGGGGTTTTAAGGCCCCCCTACCCACTTTTCACCAAGGAAGTAACTGACCTGGTACTTCTGAGGGACTGTTCCACTACGAGCAGCCTCACCAGGCCACCCATCCACAGCAGGGTGCAGTTTCAAGTCATACCTTGGACCAGGATCCTTCTGCTGCCCCCATAGTTCCTGCCCTTACCTCCAAGATGTTACAAGGAGCAGCTCAGCCTGATGTTACCTTCTTGGCTGCTAGCAGCAAATTGCTGTCTCTGCCCTGTGAGCCTAAAACCTAAAATGGCTGCTCATCAGGGCTGGCCTGCACCTGCAGACTGCCTGCTCCAGCCCTTAAAGTTGCAGGCACCCAGAAGTGCCCTGCCACAAAGTAATTACCAATGTATGCACAGAAAAATAAAAACATGTACTGTATTTTGTCTTAGCCTAATGTTCTCTTTGTTGTCATTTACCCTAGCAGTTAAATCTACTGCGGTAACCAGCAGGAAGCACACATACAGCTTAGCTATTAGCAATTGAATTTTCAAGATATTTGTCTCTTTATACAAGCTACTTTTCAGAATCAGTGGAGAGAGAAATTCATTACCAGATTTCAGAGTAATGATGTGAGACTCCTCAAGTTCACTTTAATGGGAGCTAGGGAATTTGGCACTTCAGCAAGAGTTCTCAACACCTTGCAGAATCAGATGCCACATCACCATACACCAGAAATGATGACTGGAATGATCTTAGCTATGTCATTCCCCAGGCTGGTGGAAAGCCTGTTCATCCCAAGGATGGTGGACTCAGTTTGTTAGGGAAAGCTGTCAATCAGAACTTTTTCTATGAGCCCCATTTCTGCTTAATCAATGAATTAAGAATAATTCCAAGTAGCACAGTAGACTCTTTTGTCCCAACCCAGATTTTAAGTGTTAATTGTGGAGGGCTGGAGAATTGTATTAGAAAAAAACAAAGTAGCATAATAATTGTGCTGAAAAATGAAAGCATGCCCTAGGTTTATGCTCAAATGTTTGTGTCCCTCCCCACATGGAAAAAAGTGGCTTCTCAGTGTTTTCCTCCTTTTCTGCATACCAGTTTTGTAGTAACATTGTTGATGTCAACAGGAACACGTGCATCTGTGCACTCGCAAATCACTATGCTTGCCATTGGTTGTTTTGTCCAATACATGTGTGCATGTAGTATTTTGTTTTGAATAGCGTGAAGTAGCTTGCGTTGAGTAAATTAAAAGAAAGAAACCAAAGAACATGAGCTCAGAATTGTTCATGCATGTGAAAAAACACATCTTTTCTCTTTTGTCTTCATTATGCTTGCAGTCTAGTCATGCAGTCATTTCTATCTTGACTCCTCCAAAATGACCATAAAGATCAGAGCCTTGGTGAAGAACTTGATCATTTTTTTCCAAAAAGCACCGGTCCCTTTAATAAAAATAGTAGTAATAATAAATGAAACACTGTTTGCAAAACATCAAACTTAAAGAACTAGAAGGCTGTTAACAGAAAGCATTCAAGTGTATAAGCTGACTGTTATCAAACTGTGACATGTATAACACTTGTCTGTAGATCACAGTCAGGTTGGTTTACCTGACCTGTGTACCTTTTTAATTTTACTGTTTAAGATGACAAAGCTATTACAACACAAGCATTTAGATTTGGGATGTGATGTGCTAGCTTTCAAAATTTGTGAGCTGCTGAAATAACCCATTTTTCCTTTTCTTGCAACATACAGGCAGACCATTTTTTAAACTTGGCAGAATAGCTACAGTGAATCCTGCCTGAAATGTCCATTCAGTATACTGAACACATTGGATAATTACTAGTAGTGGTTTTCCAACACATTTGGAGCAGCCTTGTTTGCTGTATTGGTGGATTCTTGAAATGCCTTTTGAAATGTCCTCCAAAGATTTCACCTTCCAATAATGTAATGGTATCAGCATCCGAACTGTTACACTTGTTGTAACTGAGTTTATTTTGTTGGAATTACAGTAACGTTTTAGATGAAAGCGCTAATAAAACATGGTGATCCGTGCTGCTGCACCTGTATGAAGCACCTGTGAACTGTGGCTTCTGCCACAGTTTGCTGATGTGCTAATAATTGCTTGAATTAAACCTCCAATGGGTAATTTTGAATCACTGTAATGTAATAAAATTAAAATGATGTTCTTTCTTGTGCTGCATGATGGCTCAATACCTTTATTTTTCAGGGTTCTCACGGACATTGTTGCCAAGTGTCATGAAGAACAACTAGAGCATTGTGTCCATTCTTATGTAAAGGTACGAAATAGCTAAAGGCCTTTCATTATCTCCTCAGAGTTGTATGTTCTTTCTGCTTTCTCTTATGACACTTTGTAGTTTCCCCAGTATCTGGATTGCTTTCTCCTACCCTGTCAGGTTGCAGGGTCTAGTGATAAAGGTAGCAACCTGGGGCCAGTGAAAACTGAGTTGAATTCTCTGCACTACTACTATCTTCTGTGGCAACTATGGTTTCTTTCTGCCTTGGTCCTCATTTGCAAGATGGGGATAATAGTACTTCCCTGTTTAGCAGGGTGAAAAATAATACATAAAAGACTGTGGACCCCAGATACTGTAGCCATGGTGGTCTGATAAGTACCTAACACAGATTGATTTATGTATTGTTCAGTGGCATATTTTGCTACATTTGCCTAAACTGTATTGGGTTTTATTGCATTGTAGTGATGGGCTGTGTGTATTTGCATGACATGTTTCTTATACGTTGTTTGAAATATTACAAATGGCCAAATGAAATCAAATGGTAAATTTTTATGGAGATGTTCCTGGATGCTTTTCTTTGGTACATTTTCCTACTTTGTAGTCTTAGTTTTCTTTTGTTTCCTCAGGGCATATTTTTATTTTTCAAGTTATCATATAGCTGTACCTGCTTTGGATATAAGAAGTACTTTACCTTCTTCTATGAATCCTTTCATGTTTTCATAATTGTGCACTGCTCACTTGTATTTTCCACTTGGTTCTCATTTTTATGTGCATATATGCCTTTGCAAAACAGGCTATTTTGATCTTATTGATCAAACTTATAATGAACTTAGATGATGTTTGGAAAATCAAAGGTATGGTGGCTTTACATTATCTTTACTCTACTGTTATCAACTGAGTTCACCAAAATAAAGCAAATAAAGGTACAGGCCAACAAGCACCTAAATAAATAATATAAATAGTCTATCTCAGGGGAAAATCTTATAAACTGAGAAGCTTATGATAGAAGCACACCCTATAAAGCGAAGGATGGCGTAATCATTGATACTGTTTTGACAACGGTCCTGATAAACAAGGATAGGCAAGAGAAGTTCTTGGCTTTTGGAAAATATGTAAGTACACAGTATTAGATGAATCATCGCTTGGCACTTTAGTTGAATCAACTGAGGGGATATCATTGCCTAAATAATTTAATTTAATAATTTAATGTACCTTATTTTTGTATCTAGTTTATTTGGTCACTTCTTGCAGAGTGACAGCACAAAGGGGAATCTATCATAGCTATTGTTTGAGAAAAATAAAATTTAAAATTGTTTTGCCTCTTTGTTCTTGTCTCTTGTCTTTCTCACATCCATGAGATAGTAAGAGTAAATACAGAACATGCCAGAAGTGAGATAAGGGAAATTAATACAATTCAACTAGTTATGGAAATGAATCATGAGTGACACATGCATGGACTTGTTAATCTCTGCATAGTGTGCTGATTCATTCTGAAACAAGAGAGGGTTTCATAGAACCTAGCGAATGCCAACCTAAAAGATAAAAAACTGTCTGTCAGGGCAAATGAAACCATGATGGAAACAAATACGTGCCATTAACTAACACTCCAGTCTTCATGGGTACAATAATGACTGTATGACACAAGTTTATTCAAGCTAAACACTACTAAAGTAATTTCTATAACGTACAAAATTCCTTTGTATTTTATATCTTTGCAAGTCATGATTTGAATTTAATTTTTAGTTAACTGGTTTAAATTTTAAGTAACTCTGTGTTCAAAGGGTACACTCCTTGTCTATTTAGGTTACTTAAGAACACAATGGTTTGAAACGTTGTGTTACTCATCTCTCTAATTGTGTTCTGTTGAAAGGCCAAAGGCAGCTACTGCTGCTTTATGCTTCAGCAGCAGTTAAAACAAACTTATGGCTAAACATTAGTGCATGCACAAGAGGATTGGTATTGCTTTTGAGGATAATGTAACCCAAGCTACAAGTATGCTTATACTCATTGGTTACATTAATTTAGTAACTGATTCATGAACTTATTGCAGTTCTTCATTTCCTAGCCTAGAACTTGGGAGACCAGCTGTCCTGAACTTCCTCTGTGACCCTAAGCGAGTCACATAGGACTGGATTTTTAAAGGTCCCTAAAGATGCAGATGTACACCTAGTAGCATTTTCAAAAAAGTCATTGAGTGCTTAGGCTGCTAAACCATGTCTGAAAATCCCAGGAAGCACCATATGCATCCTTAGCAGCTAAATAGCTTTGAAAACCTGACCCATAGAATCTCTTTCTCTCAGTTTGCACAGGAGATAGTGCTCCCCTACGTCTCAGAGGGTTTTGTGAAGAAAAGCACATTAAGTTTGTGATTAAAATTGGTCTAATAAAAGATATTGGATTTACCCAAAGAACCTTGTCTGCCTTAAAATTGAGAGGCATTCATTTAGTAATGGGAATCATACAGGTGCAAATAAATGAACAAGGAAATGGCAAGGTCCACTTAAAGAATACATGCTGGTTAATCTTGTGAATGTCTGCTTTGGAAAAGGCTGCATATTGATAGGAATAGTAGTTGAATATACCATTTGTTTTATACAACCTAGTACTTCTATTTAGTACTCTTTCAAAATAAGTTTTTTTAATTTGTCAACATAGTTAAGCTGCCCTTGTCTCTGTGAGGAAGTAATAGATCCAGTCACCAAAATATTAGTAAGAAATAGGTCAGGGGAAGAAAACTGGTAGTAGACTTATGTCCATGAGGAGTCTAGCAGAGGAATTCTGATCCTTGGGCTATGATCTCTGGAAGAGGATGCTATTCCCCTTCTCTCCATTCTAGTGGGTACTCTACCCCTTTCAGGATGAAGAGTTCCTATCAAGTCAGCAGTTACCATTGGAAGAAAGGAGCAAGGGAAAAGGTGGCCCTGACTAGGTGGGTGAAAACCCTCCTTACTTCCTTATTTATTGTTCTTTCTTTCCTGGTTAGAAGTGAATTCAGGCTTAGAAGTAAATTCAAAAGAAATTCTGATACCCAAATTTGAAAAATGGCCTATGCACCAAGGATTTTAAGCAGAAATTCCTTTTGATTCAAATCCAGTTGAATTTAATGGGGAGTTCCGTTTAAAACTCAGGATCAGTAGAGGAGAAGTGTTGTACCATTGTTCTTAGGTGAATTTGTATGAATTCATGTTTTCAGTCAAGGTATCTCAACAGTCCAAAATCAGCACTACTGAAAAAATCAGCTGTTCTTACAAGGTGTATTATTTATGCTCTACCTACTCTTGGTTGGACTTTTATACATTTTTACATTACTCTTATTGATTTTTCTTTAGTACGTGTTCAGAACCAAGTCATCCGAAGAAAGGACTGTTCATGAGGAGCTAGCCAAGAATATGACTGGCCTTTTGAAATCAAATGACCAATTAACAGTGAAACATGTCTTAAAGGTGAATAATACAGATTTAAGCACTAGTATATTTCATGATTGCTCTCACATTTTTCCACTTCAGCTTCCCTTGCTCTTTTCCCTGTGCACTTGGCATATATCAAAGTCCACAATGATCCAACAGCTTTATCAGGCTTTCTTTGTTGTCATGCAAATTCTCAACATAACCCATTACACAGTATACTGTGGCTTTACATGGTATAATTTCTCCTCCTGGATTTCTTTTCTGTTATTGCTCAGCCACTGTGAGAAATATAATTCTTCCATAATTCAGTGAGAATTAGAATGTTAATTTTTAACATGTTATGATTTTTTAACCTCACAAGAAGTGTCAGGAATCTCATCTTGTATATTTCTTTGCAAGTAAAATAGAATATATAGTCAAGTGAATATTGAACACTTAATTTTAATACTGTTACTATTAGATGATACTCATCAATCATCATAATTGTTTTGATAAGTATTAAAAGCTGTTAGTTTATTTATTTAACTAACTCATCATAAAACTACAACATATATACCAAACTTGGCCTGCCCTCTATGCCATGTCTAGGAGGGAACTAAACTGGCTTAAGAGCTATCTATGCCAACTTTAGAACAGCTGAGGACTTCCCATAGAGCAAGGAAATTCTCATTTATCCAGATTCTTCTGGTTCCCAGCTCCTATCTACTACTAGAATGGCAGGACTTTCAGGGAATATGGGAGAAACTGGCCATTAGTGCACATTTGATGCAGGAAATTAAACTCCCACTATTTAGACTTGTGGGCAGTTTTTGCTATATTCATAGTTGACATGTTTTTTAAGGTGCTTATCCATGTTAACTCCTCTTATACATTTTAAAAGTCCTTTTATTTCAATTAAAAGCTATAGAGATTGAAGTCTTCCAACCCATAGTACCATCTCAACATAGAAGCTTTCATTGTTCTCCCACCAGTATTTGATTCTCCATATGTACATTCAGACTTGAACCTCTCTGTTGAGATGATTCTACACTTGTTATGTTTCATGTATTTCTGCCATATCTATTTGTAAACTAGACTTGAATTACCGCAGACATTGTTATGAATTAAAGTAATAATTTATTTACTATGTATTTCTAATAAGGAAGAGATCACAATTGCCAAGTGCCTAATTCAGCAAGGTGTTAAATGGCTTCTGTTCCCAAATGAAGTCAAACAGAGTTGAAGTTGCTTAGCTTCATAAAGGATAAGTTCCCAAGGCTAGGAACAGACATTGCATTTGTACCCGGACAGAGTATGCCTGTGTTTGTCTTGGAACAAAAATGTTCTGGGATAGGTACACATATCACCATTTCATAGACATTAGACAGTAGGGCTAGAAGGGACCTCGCAAAATCATTGGGTCCAGCCCTCATTTAATCAGGATTTAGTGAGCAGCTAAATTCACTGCTGCTTTCTTGCCATTGATTCAGTGATGCAATCTCAAGACAGCTATTCTAACACATTTGCAACGTCTTGGCATAAATTGTTAGTACTTCTTATTCTGTGAACCTTTTTTAAATTCTATCCTGAGACAATGGACATGGATGTCTGAATGATCATGGGTTAAAGTAGTTTATTCCAGGACAAATGTACCATTGCACAAGTGACTTAAATACTTAATAGCCAAATGTCAACTACTTTAATTTGACTGTAGTGAAAATGTTGTCATTATGCACAGCTGAGGAACACAGACCATTCCTATGGGGAAGAATGTTGAGTTGAAAATATCAGAAAACAATTCATTATTAAATGCTGATATTATTATGTGACTTCAATTTTAAACTTTTTTTAACAGCACTCCTGGTTCTTCCTGACAATTATTTTAAAATCAATGGCCCAGCACTTGGTTGATACAAGCAGGATACAGGTAAATCAGTGTATACCCAAGTATATTTAATCATAAAGGCTAGGGACAGACATTCAAAAAGTATGAGCCTGAATTGATTCAGTCTTTGCAGGTTAGTCTAACCTGGCTAGGCTGAACTGGTTTGAAACAGGACAGACATTCTCTCTTCACTGAAGAAATCCAGGTACATGTCTGCAGTGGCTCAGGCTAGAAGCTGGGGGGCACTAGAACATCCCTGCCTTCCCTTCCAGGACTGAGCTGAGGGGGGTGTGGTGAGCCCCCAACAGGACTCTCTCATTAGGGATGTCTGCCTGCATGGTCCCAGGCTTTTCCGTGCTGGCTGCTCAAGGGGTGGGAATATTGCCAGCCCCAGGCTAGCACTCTGAGGCAAGCGGGGGCAGGTGGGGGGTAGTGAATGCACTGTTGATGATATGGAGCTTTTCAGTCTCCTCCCTGCTTCATCATACTGTCTGCAGAAAACTGACAGGTGAGCAAGCCAGCCCAGGGGCTGATAACAGTCTGTATCACCCCATTAGCAAAGCAATAGCTTCTCTCTATTACTTCAAACTTCTTAAACAGCTTACCGGGGTTACCTGTTGATTAGCTCTAAAAGCCCTAAGTGGTCACTGTTCTATCTGCCTATCCCAGTGAAATTGGAGAGAGACACACCTCTCAGCATTAGCTAGCATACCACATGCCTAGGGTCCATGGGGCTGGGATCCATGCTGTGGAAGATGGGAGGAAGGGAGGGAGAGGGGGATTTCCTGCTTGAGCAGTGATGGGTGATGGGAGGGGAGAGCAGGGGGAAGCCAGGCAGACCTTGCTGTGTCTGCAGTCTCTGCCAGAGCCTTACACGGCATTAGCTAGCATACCACATGCTAGCTACAGTCCATGTTGTTGGAGAGAGGAGGAAGGGATCTCTGCTTAAGCAGCGAGTGGTGAGAAGTGGGGAAGAAGGGAGCATGGGGAGGCCAGCAGACCTTGCTGTGCCTGCAAGTCTGTGCCGAGCTCCAGCCAGGAAGCAGAGGGGAGGGGACAGCCCTGCTGTGGAGCAGAGAACCCCATCCAGCCCAGAGAACATGCTGGGATGCTGGAGCATGCTGGGGGACTCCCAAAACACCACCCCCAGCAAGCCAAAGCTGCCCCATGCCAAGCTGCAGTCACCTTCATGGTCATCTGCTCCCCACCCCAAAAACACTCCAATGATCTCAGTGAAGCCTCCCCAGTGTAAAATTGGAATAGAATGGAAATACAACAGAAATGGAGTAAAAGTACTTTAAGATTTAATAACTGACACACTTCTATATTTTGCTTAGGTTCCTCGAATTCAGAGATTTCCAGAATCATTCCAAACTGAACTGGACACACTTATAATGAACTTGGCAGACCATGTTGTTTGGAAACACAGAGATGCTCTTGAAGAAACAAAAAATGCAAACCACAGTGTTGCCAGATTTCTCAAGGTGAGATGTTGCATTGCTACAGCATGCACATAATCAGCCATACATAATGCAGAGTCAAGGAAATGAAACTCTATAAGTTAAAAAAAACCCCTACGTGAATGATAACTGAGTTTACAGAATCAATATTGATTTATAGTACAGTTGTTTCTTATATCTGCTACTAGGTCTGTGGGAATCCAATAGCTGTAAATAAATCTTCTGAAAAAATTGCAGTTCATATATATGTATCTAGAAATTGGAATCAAATTAGCACATATTATTGTACATGGATAATGTAACTATGAAAGAAAAGTCTGCTGATGAATGGAACCACTATTACAAAATCAATCTAACATGGTTTCTTGACCTACCATATAACTGTGACTGGAATACGGACTCGCTAGACATATATAAGAATAATAATGGGAAACAGTTTTCACATACCTGTGTAAACATATTGCTGGTGTTCTGTAAGCTACTTGTAACAGTCAAGTAAAGCTGCTGTCTCAGGATGTGCTATTATATTACTGTAACAAATTACTGCAGGGAGGGTTTCACAGTGCAGCAATGGTTATTGCTGTTACAGTCATTCATCAGTTTTGTAGGTGAAACTAAAATGGTGGCAGCCACAAGCACAACATAACAGTCTCAAAAGTGCCTAACTGACTTGGGAACCTAATTCTTGTTTTCAAGAAACCCTAAGCGTTGTCAAAAGGCACCCATTAAAATGAATAGGTGATCCACCCGTACGTGCTTTTGAAAATCTGAATAAGTGCATCTTTTAGGCACCTAAATACCTCTAAAAATTTGATCTCTAACTGGATTTGCAAAAGCACTTAAGTGGGTTCAGAAGAACCAAACTTATTGATTTAGGGAATTAAGGACCTAAACGAAGCACTTACAATAGTTTTACCCATAGTCTATTGCTTGTGCCAGCTAAGTGAAGCAGTATGCAAATCAATAATATGTAGTTTTTTATGCTTTTTTTCTCACTGTTGTTTGAGTGTCAGTAACCTTTTGCATATAGGGTGGGATTTGGAAAGAATCAAATGCTCTGAGCGCTCTTTTATTTACTTTATAGAACAAAATATGCCTACATTTTTTTCTCTATATAACTCCTTGATGGAATAAGAGTAGTGCTAAGATTGTCTTTTTTTATTTTCTCCTCATATCCCTCAATTGTTGGACATCCTTATTCTCTGATTTAAGTACAGGATGTGAAAGAATTAACAACTGGACAAAGTGTGGCCTGTTCCACATCTGGATAGCTGAGAACAGGAATGATAAAAAAATCTTGTGACCCAGTAGCACATACATAGACTGCCATGTACAGTGTATGCTGAAAATAGTGGTAAGAGGATCAGGGTGAATCTTCTTGTAACAGATTGCAACACAGCTTCTGAGGAAAATATATAGGAACATTTTATCAAGAAAACCAACTGTACAGAGGTGTAATTCCCTCTTGGCAAACTTCACTTAACCAATGATAAATCTCTTCTGGTGTAGTATGGAAACCACCTCTGCTGTAGATTTATCTAGCATGTTTTGTGCTTATCCAATGCATTATGTAATTTGGAGAGTTACATTGGCTTGATTCTCTACCTGTGCTATTGCAAGGTTGCTAGTATTTCATGGTGTTAGTTTTGTAGTTTTGCATGTTGTCTTTACATATTGTAAGTTTATACAAGTGATAAAGCTATGTTCTACAATGGGATGAGGTATCAGGTCCTCTTTATATAATTTGGTTTGCCAAAATAAAATCTTTAGGCTACTGAAATAGTCTGATGTCTCTGGACCCAAAGCTTACAGCAGTCCAATTTCTGTGCCATGTACTGAGCAGTTAGGTGTTTGCTACTGTTATACAGTTCAAGAGCATCTGTTACCTTTTGGATAGGAGGGCTAGCACTGCAGTGCTTATACAGCAGGATGACACTGCAAGACTCTCCCACCCTTCTGAAAAGTGTCAGCAGCTATAGAATTGAGTGTTACAATAACCTTTACATCTTCAAGCCATTTAGCCTCATCAGTCACCAAGAATGCTGTTCTCATCATAATGTAATGTAATGACATGTTTCCAGAAAGATAACATAGTCCATACTCGGAGAGCTGTTTGGCTGAATTGATTCTTCAAGAATCATGGCTTTATTGTTGAAGGGAAGATTCAGTCATCTTGCTTTACGTGTACCCTAACTTATTGAATGGTACAGTATGTGGCAGTGTTCCTTTTCATTAGATAACCCACTTATTAACCATCCAGAGTGATGGTAGTTTCAGGCCATAGCCACATTAAAAGCAAAATATCTAACCTATATATCCGTACTGTTCTTTTAAATCATTACAGTGTGCCAGATTCACCAATGTGCTCTGGCTGCTTTTCATTGCAGACAGGTGAAAACTGATTTTACCAATCAGTTAAGCCAGTTCCATAGATGCTATACATTGCCAGAGCAACATGTTTCTCAGACAGGTTGTGCTAGTGAATCTTCTCCTGTGATTCTTGTTCTAGCCATAACTGTTTTATTTTTTTCCTCAGCGCTGTTTTACGTTTATGGATCGTGGTTTTGTGTTCAAGATGATCAACAGCTATATAAGCATGTTTGGAGCAGGAGTTCCCAAGGTATGAATGATGTTTTTAAAAAGTGAATTGATAGCAGAGTATTTTCAGTATTGTATTCAGTAGTTTGCTCTCTGTTCAAAAATAGCCAATAGAATTTTTTTTTACTGTAAACAATGTTTTACAAATTTAGCCTCAATCCTATAAGAAGTACCACTTGTCCAGAGTTGTCTACTCACTTGAAGCTGCTACCTTCAGTTTATTTTTCTGAGATTGGCTAGGCTACATAACAGATATTAGTATATCCTCAGAGAAAAATACCTGTACGTATCTGGCTGGATCTTCAGGCTCAGAGGGCACGGGTGAGGCCGAATCTGGAGTATTATGTTCAGTTTTGGGTCCCCCACTACAGAAAGGATGTGGACAAAATGGAGAGAGTATAAACCAGTGAAACATAAAAGTCAATGGCTCAAAGTCTAGTTGTCAGCCAGTAGCAAATGGAGTGTCCCAGTGGTTGATCCTGGGGCCAGTTTTGTTCAGTATCTTCATCAGCGATCTGGAAGATGGGATGGAATGCACTTTCTGAAAGTTTGTATCTCTATCTGTCACTTAAAAGAGCTTATAGTTGCTCTGTGATCTCTCTAAGAATTAATTTTCTGGGAGGAGTAGTAGATATGCTGGAGGATAGGGCTAGGATTCAGAGAGACCGAGACAAATTGGAGGATTGGGCCAAAAGAAATCTCATGAGGTTCAATAAGGACAAGTGTAAAGTCCTGCGCTTACGATGGAACAATCCCATGCACGAGTACAGGCTGGGGGCTGACTGGCTGGGCAGCAGCTCTTCAGAAAAGGACCTGGAGTTTACAGTGGACAATAAGATGGATAATGAGCCCTTGTTGCCAAGAAGGCTAATGGCCTACTGAGCCGTATTGGTAGGATTGTTGCCAGCAGATCAAGGGAAGTGATTATTCCTTTCTATTCAGCATGGGTGAGGCCAAATCTGGAGTATTGTGTTCAGTTTTGGGTCCCCCACTACAGAAAGGATGTGGACAAATTGGAGAGAGTATAAACCAGTGAAACATCTGTATACAATCTGTAAAATAAGAGTAATTGCTTCACATGGGTGTTGCAAGACTAAATTCATTAACAATTAGTAAAGCATTTTGAAAGTAGTTTTTAAATAGATTTCTATAGAAATGGCAAATATTATAATTAATTACTAATTATTAATATAGCATGATAATTAGTTTTACCCTCTTATCATTTCAATGCTCATTAAGGTTTAATTACATTTTAATGAATACCCTATTCTATTAACAATTGTAAGGCATGATTGCAGTAGATGATACATATTACCAAAAACACTAGAGGCCAAAGCTCATTAAAAACTATAGAAAGAGTTTGGATTGGGATTATATCACTGAAACATAGTATTCATTTGGTAAAACGATTTGGGTTGGAGAGGAAACACAAAGCCATTGTAATTTTTTTTTTTTATTTAATACCCAGGGCTGGATCAGTGAGTGATACTGACTATGAAAATGATAGCTACAGTTCTGGCTTATGTGAATTGGAGACGATACTTCATATCCCCCAAGATTTTTAATTATAACATATACCGTTAAAGGGAGCCAATGGGAGGTTTTAAGGAGAAAGCTGCTTTAAATATATAGCTTGGCTGAAGTACTACAGGATGAGTATTAAATCAGGACCAGTGTGAAATACACATGGTTATAATAAGTGCCATTAACAACATGGAAAAAAATTGAGTATTTAATTCTGAATTATAGAATTGCATAATTGACCAAAAGTTTTCACTGTTTGATGGAAATGGTTTTAAGAAAAAGAGAATCATTGAGACACATCCTTTTTAAATATTGTTTCTTTGTTTACCTGGATGTCAGTACTAACCGTTTAATATTATTATGTTTCAGGTTTTGTATCAGTACAAATTTGATTTTCTTCAAGAAGTTTGCCATCATGAACACTTTATTCCTTTGTGCCTGCCCATACGATCTGTACACATTCCAGGTATTAATTTATCTCCTCCATTGAGTTCTCAAAGAGAAAATTAATTCTTGAGAGATCACAGGACAACTATAAACGCCTTTAAGTGACAGCTAGAGATGTTACAAGACAGCATGAAAGTTCTGAATGATAGTTAGGTATAATTTTAATAAAACAGTTGGAGTCTCACAAGTTATACCTTTAGTTCTTCATATTTCAAAGATGCCTGCCAATCCAATTAAAACATGGATCGGTAGTGGAAGCTAGATTGCTTATAGAGAGAGAATTATCAAAGCTAATATTCATGCCTGAGGTGGCTCCCAGGCCAAGAAAAAAATTAGAAGCTGGGGCAGCAGGAAAGGCAATAAGTCAGACCCTGTCAAATTCATGGTAGAAGTCATGGCTCTGTCACCTCCCCACTTGGGTTCACTCTTGATTGGCAGGGAGGTAAAAACTGCAGTTTAAAATATGGCACCATTTTTCCCTTACATTGCTGATTGGCCAAAGCGCCCTGGCAGCCCTGCTGCTTTCTGCTGACCAGCAGGGAGGTAAAAACAGAGCCATGTTTAAAATCATGGTTTTCACTTCCCTGATAATCAGGAATGAGCCACGTGGGGGAACTTGCAAGATTAAAGGAGCCGTAACCCACTTTTGCCATGAGTTTGATAGATCCCTAGCAATAAGTCAAAGCTAAAAAAGAGATTGGAAGATATCCTCTTAAACTGGGAATAGCAAGGTTACTTGGGCAGCTACTGTAAGGTTATCAGATTCCAAAGCTATTGCTTGAAGGCTGTGACATGGCAGTCATGAAGCATGACAATCTCTGCCTGTGTTTAAATTATAATGTATTGAAAAACTTAAATTTATCTTAGTTATCTTTTGTACTATAAAAAAATTTAAAAACATGTTTATCTTGTATCCAGGTTTTATGGAATAGGCAGTTATCTAAAGACTTGAACAAAAGCATGCTTAAGTCAATGGGAGCCTTTCCATTGAACTTAACTGGGTTGGGAATTAGTAGATAGAAAACAAATACCTGTTTTGCACTTAATCAGTAATAATGTATTTAATTTGACTTAATAAAAATATATGGTTCTTGCCATTATACATTTTTGTTGACTCAAGACCCCATGACGCCTTCAGAATCAACGCAGGAATATCATGCATCAGGTAAGAGTCAAATTACTTAATCTCGAGTGTTATGGTTAAACAGACAGGACTGGTGTCAGGAGTTTTGTCTAAGTCCTAACTCTATTACTGAACTGTAGTGTTATCTTAAGAAGCCATTTCAAGTATCTGAAAATGAAACCAGTTTGGATCTCAGTGCTTCATTGGCCTTTGCCATAATATGGGGCAATACCTGGCTTCTAAGGGACATCTGGAGGCTCACTAAATACTTGTAAATTTATTTGAGACCCTCAATTGGAAAGCCCTTTTAAAGTATACATTTCCATTTACTTATAATTTTTTAAACTATACAAGTTAAAGCCATGTTAATTATTGTTTACCTAATTTGTTCTGAAATGATTTACCAGGATAAAGTAAGCATGATTTGGCCATCAATGAAAGCATGATTTACTTTATGCCACATACATGCATTTGGTTACATGGATCATTAGGTATGAAATAATTTAATAAGATGGCCTGGAGAAATACTGGAAGAAATCTTTATCTAGGGAATGGATGTTAACATAGTTGATTTACAAATGAAATGAAGTTCTTTGTCTGTTCTAATCCAGATATTCCAGAATACACCCTGACCAATGAATTCTGTCGCAAACATTTCTTAATTGGATTGCTGCTCCGAGAGGTTGGCTTTGCGCTTCAAGAAGACCAGGATATTAGGCACCTAGCTTTGGCTGTACTTAAAAACCTAATGGCAAAACATTCCTTTGATGATCGATATGCAGAGCCGGTAAAAGAACTATTTATTCTTTCTTTTGATATGTTCATACACCGTACCACAGTTGAAAACTTACACAGCTATCTGTCTATCCTGACTCATTCGTTTGCATCTTTTCAGGAGAAGCAGGCACAAATAGCAAACCTGTACATGCCACTCTATGGCATGCTTCTGGACAACATGCCGAGGATTTACATGAAGGATATGTTTCTTTTCAATATAAATACATCCAACCAGGTAACATAATGCAATTCTTCATACCTTTCAAAAGGATCATTTTGGTTTTGATGTCACTTACTTCCTTCAGTGTTACCTAAAAGGAAGACAGCTCACAAATCTCAAGTGGATAGGCCATTATCAAACTAGGGTTCCAGGAACTTATTTGAAAGAGGAAGGCTGGTCAGAAATTTTTGTGTGAAATAAATTTCATCAAAAATACAGATTCACTGAACTTGAAATGCTTCATGAATGTCTTCAGCTCAATAGACTTTTGTTAAATCTAGTGCAATGTTTTCATGGAATTGCCTCAAGGCTGGGAACGTGGTACTTCTGAGTGAGGCTCGATAGGTGAACAGCTCACACCAAGATGCTCCAGGTCAACAGCCTGTGAACAGACCATTTTTATCTGTGCAGTTGATGACACTGCCAGTTTTGCTGAGCAGCTTCAGAGTCCCAGAACAAGTTTACACTGGTGTAACCTACAGTGGTTTTGTGTAGTAGGCAACCATAAATCCTCTGGAGCATGGTGTACATGTAAGTCTAGTCACCAAGACCTTAGATGTGTACAGCTAAGCAAGAATATGGAGGAGTGAAGCCTGCCCAAGACCTACCATCCCCTCTTTTAGACCACTGAGACAGAATCCAAAGGCCAGATAAGAACTGCTGCTGACTGCCTAACACCTCAGCGAAGACACATTTCTGTCAGGGTGATGTCCCTTAGCCTTCCTCCAATCAAGGAGTACCCACAAGGCAGTGAGGGCTAGGGTTTTGAGGCACCCTATACTCACCTTACTCTGGAGATTGCAACATTGTAGTATTTTATAAAAGCTACCCCGCCAGGAGAACCCCACCATGTTGCCACCAAGCCCTCCAGTCAGATGCAGTTTAGGGTCACAGTCAGGATCTAGTGGTTTTGTACAACAGTGTAAAGTACACCAAGATTACACTGGGACAACTTGGGATAACACAAAGTAGGTAACTATTACAGGGCCTTACTATTAGGTGATGCAGGCAGCAGGCAGTAATCTGTTTGCCGTGAGCAAACAGCTACCCCGACCCAATTTGCAGGCAGAAAAAATCAACATGAGTGTAACTTAAACTGGTGTTATATTATCTCAGATTTTCCTAGAGTAATTTTATAGCAGATTTGGAAAAGTTAGACAGACTTATTGCTGTGCTTTGTGTGCCTGCCTTTGCTTACACTGTTATAAAGGCTGATTACACCAATTAAAATATGTAGTGTCCAAATATTTTATTTCAGATAAAATATGTTTCATCATTTTCAAAACAAAAGAGAAATTCAGTCCATGGGAAATTCTGATAAATGTAGTTTATGTATCACTTAAAATTCTGGAAAAAGAAATATTCCTGAAATCCAGAAAACTGACTTTTTGGCCACCTCTCAACTGGGTACCCTGAGGATTGGGAGAAGAAGAAATAATGAGAAGGTGCATAGAGTGAGGAGTTTGTACTGGATTTCATTTTGAATTTTGGTTTAGTTGCAGCTTTGAAAACATCTATGCATTTAGGTTCACAAAAATTAGTGCTGATTTTCCACAGGGCTAGAGGAGAGCCTTGCTCCTGCCCCTGAGAAATAGAGGTCAGGACAGGAAGTATATACCAAGTCCACATGACCTTAGATCTAGTTCCTTCACATAGTTATCATAGAATCATAGAAAATTAGGGTTGAAAGGGACCTCAGGAGGTCATCTAGTCCAACCCCTTGCTCAAAGCAGGACCATCCCCAACTACATCATTCCAGCCAGGGCTTTGTTGAGCTGGGCCTTAAAAACTTACAGGGATGGAGTTTCCACCACCTCTCTAGGTGGCTGATGAGTTTTTCCTAATATCCAGCCTAAACCTCCCTTGTTGTAACTTGAGACCACTGCTCCTTGTTCTGTCTTCTGCCACCACTGAGAACACACTCTTTGGGACCACCCTTCAGGTAGTTAAAGGCTGCTATTCAGGTGTTTAAAGGCTGCTATTAAATCCTGTCCCCCCCCCTACCCCCCCCCCCAGTCTTCTCTTCTGCAAACTAAATAAGCCCAGTTCCCTCAGCCTCTTAGAGTCATGTGCCCCAGCCCTCTAACCATTATTGTTGCTCTCCGCTGGACTCTCTCCAACTTGTCCACATCCTTTCTATAGTGGGGGGCCGAAAACTGGACACAATACTCCAGATATGGCTTTTCCACTGCAGAATAGAGGGGAATAATTACTTCCCTCAATCTGCTGGCAGGGGTCCTACTAGTGCAGCCCAGTATGCTGTTAGCCTTCTTGGCAACAAGGGCACACTGCTGATGCATATCCAACTTATTGTTCACTGTAACCCCCAGGTCCTTTTCTGCTGATCTGCTGCTTAGCCAATTGGTCCCAAGCCTGTCGGTGATTCATGGGATGCTTCCATCCTAAGTGCAGGAGTTTTCTTGATGTCTCCACAAACTTGCTGAGGGTGTACTCCATCCCATTTTCCAGATCATTAATGAAGATATAGAACATAACCAGCCCCAGGATTGACCCTCGGAGCACTCCACTTGATTCCAACTGCCAACTAGACCTCGAGCCATTGATCACTACCCATTGAGATCAACAATCCAGCCAGATTTCTGTCCACCTTACAGTCCATTCATCCAACTCATACTTCCTTAGCTTGCCTATGCAAATGTTTAATATTATGTATGCAAATATCCCCTCCAGAGTCAATGGGATTACCCATGTGCATAAAGTTAAGCACATGCAGTAGGGTTTCAGTGTATGTTTTCTATGGGAAACATACATAGAACATTCAATATGGATACACTGAGAGAGAAGTCAGCTGCTTAGTCTACCTCTATTAGACTTTCACTGGCCCCATGTAGTAGTTTTAGAGAAATGGAGCTGCAGCTTCTCAGGCTAATCTCTGTCAGCTAACTTTTGATTCAGTCACACTGGAGTCATTTGGCTGGTGTCAAGAGTGTAGAATTCACATGTGTAGGGCTAATACCCAAACCATGTTGCAATTTAACAAAGATAAATGTAAGGTACTTCACCTAGGAAGGAGGAATCCCCAGCACACCTACAGGTTGGGGGATGTCCTCCTCAGCAGCTCAGAGGCTGAGAGAGATCTTGGAGTCATAGTTGACTCCAAGATGAACATGAGCTGGCAGCGTAACGAGGCCATCAACAAAGCCAATCGCACCTTGTCGTGTATTAGCAGATGCATGACCAACAGATCGAGGGAGTTGATGCTCCCACTCTCTGTGGCATTGGCTGCAGTTGGAGTACTGTGTCCAGTTTTGGGCACCGCACTTCAAGAGGGACACAGAGGATCTGGAGAGGGTTCAGAGGAGGGCCACTTGCATGATTAGTGGTCTCTGTGAAAGACCCTAGGAGGAGAGGTTGAGAGATCTGGATCTCTTCAGCCTATACAAAAGACGGCTGGGGTTGACCTTGTAGCCACCTATAAATTTATCAGGGGAGGGCAGCAGGGAATTGGGGATGTGCTGTTTACCAGAGCGCCCCAGGGAGTAACTAGGAATAATGGGTGCAAACTAGTGGAGAGTAGATTTAGGTTAGATATTAGGAAGAAATTGTTTACAATAAGTGTGGCCAGAGTCTGGGATGGGCTTCCAAGAGAGGTGGTTCTATCACCTAACTTGGAGGTCTTCAAGAGGAGGCTTGACAATCACCTGGCTGGGGTCGTCTGACCTCGGTCCTCTTTCCTGCCAGGAGCAGGGGGTCAGACACAACGATCCATTGGGTCCCTTCTGACTCTAGAATCTATGAATCTATGTTGTTCTATATCATCTGCTAGATGTGTTATTTGTGGAGATTAGATATGCTCTCTGATCATAAGCAGGCTTGAAAAAGAGTAGGCAGCAGGGCTGGGTTAACCCTTAGTGGGCCCTAGGCAAACAAACTATGCACCTAGTTGCTTTGCATAGGGCAGCAGCAGCAGCTACCGCCAGGGCTTGGAGCTGCAGCATGCAGCCCTAGAAGGGAAAAGGAGCTGGGCGGCACTGCAGTGGTGCAGCAGTCACACTGCTGCAGCAAAACAGGCACAACTGGACCCCTTCTTCACCTAGGGCCCTAGGCATGTGCCTAGTTTGCCCATGCATTAATCCAGTCTTGGTAGGCTGTTATATTCCTCCATAACTTTCCAGCAAGCCAACCTGCTTCATTTGATAATAGCTAGTGCTGTTTAATACCTTCTTTGTACACATTATGCACATTTTTGAAGAAGTAAATATACTCCTGGATCTGATCTGTCATTTGCAACTCTACTTATGAGAGGGTTTAATATTCTGTATAATTATTCAGCCTTGATCTCTACAGCTGCCTTGTCTAATCAATTGAAAATAGATTTTCAAGTTCAGTGTCTAAAAGATCATATCAGAGGCACTGTAATTATAAAAATAATGAACACACCGTGTGAGCTTTTTCTTCTATTTACTTTACAATGCAGGGATCTAGGGATGATTTGAGCACTGCTGGAGGATTTCCGAATCAGACAGCTATGAAACATGCAAACTCTGTGGATACATCCTTTTCCAAAGATGTCCTGAACTCTATAGCAGGTACTAAAGAAGGGCTCAGAGCAAACTCTCATACATTTCTGTGCATTTCACTCCATTGTGCTTTCTGATAACTATATTCCATAGAGAATGCCATCATTAAAACTATTGTTTGTGATATCCAAGGAAAAAAGGTATGCAGTGTCCCTCCTCCTTTCTCATATTTCTAGCTTTATTATATTATGACATTACCCTGCTTTCATTGGTTTCCTTATTCTACTGCCTCTGGTTGATTATATTGACCTTTGGCCTTTCACTAAGCCCTGGGCATGTGAAAGGCATATTAACCTTTGGCCTTTCGCTAAATCCTGGGCATTCCT